ACACCATCAAGAATTGTATCCCAACGATCTTTCATAGATTTATATTTTTTAATTGCATCACGATCTTTTGTCATTTGTTGATTAATTCCATTTGCCAACATTGTAAGCATTTTAGTTACAGTTGGAACATAATATTTTCTTTTAGCATCAAAAGTTTTATATAATCTTTGATAATTTTTATACGTTATAGCTATAACAGGTTGTACAGATAATTGTTGTTGTTGTTGATGATGTAAAGAATCTTTGGAATAAGATCTAGATGGTGGTATTGGTAAACCTTTATTTTGTTGAAGCATTCTTAATGGTAAAGGAGAATCAACTCTACTAATAGCTCTTGCTATAAAGTCCTTACATTGTCTAACAGCTCTTTCAAGTGAATCCATCATTTGACCAGCGTTACCAGTTACTTGTTTAAAAACACCTAACCATCTATCCTCTTTTAATTCTTCTCTCAGAGATTCCATTTCATGTTTTAAAGCATCCCATTTACTTGATAAAATATTATTCTTTTTTGCTAAAGCACCATTAGGATCAGAAGGAGCATTTGGAGCAGATAAACGAGATCTTAAATATTCAATTCTAGCAGATAAAGGTTCTAAACGAGAATCCAATTGCATTAAAGCAACATCAGATCTCGAACTAAACTCATTGTGAGAATTATTACTAATGAAATTAGAAGGTTTATTTGTAGGACTAGAACTTAATTTTGGAAAATGAAACAAGTCATTTCCATTCTCACCACTAAGTCTTTGTTCTTGATATTCGAAAATACTTGTATTTAATTCTTCTATTGAAGCTAAAATTAGATCCATAGTATCTAAAAGTTCACGACGTTGTTTTGATTCGGACATTTCTTTTTTTACCCTTCCAAAGAAGGCTTTTGTATCCACCCAGTCAGCATTTATTCTATCCAGAGAGTCCTGAATATCTTTTCTTTTTTCTTCGTCGTTAGGGACTTTTAAGTTATTAAAGATTGATTGAGACAACTCCTGTAATAAATCAATATTTGGAGCGAATTTATGAATTAGAACGTCCATTTCACCGACACTTTTGACGTTTGTTCCTTCCCGAACATCCAACTCCAAAGCGAAAATAGCGATATTAGCATATTCAAGCCAAAGGTCAATTTGTTTAGAAGAAGCGTGAAAAGTTTCTATAAGATTTGAGACGGGAAGTTGAGAAGATAAAGCGAGGTAAATATTTGCGTTAGGAGCTTCTAGTTGGTAAAGGGTTTGTATATGGTGGGCAAAAGACTGGTTATCAGAGGAACTAAGCCGCTCAGCGGAAGGAAAAAAGTTAGTTTGACGAGTAGTAGAAAGTGGTTCTGGCATTTGGGACATTGAAATGCTCTTTGCCCAGAGAGCCCGTAAGTCTTTTGAAAAGTTTTTTTGGACTTTATTTTTGTAGTGTTGTACGAAAAGTGAGCACAAGAATATTTAACATGTATATATAATAATTAAATATATAGAGTACATTAATCCAATAATAGATATTATCGTTATTAATGTTTTTTTTCGATAACGATAATATTAATATCAGATATGTAGAGAGAGGAGGAAAAAAATATTTCACGACCGTTTATTGAGCCTTCATTACATACATGTTTATTCATTCATTCATTGCCTATCAATCAATAAAGTACGTACGTACATAGTAGAAAGAAAAAAAAGTTGAGCTCACGAGCTGCATCAAACGGATGCGGCTTGATTTTCCAAAAGTGCTCAAATTTATGTGACAACCTGTGATCATTTATTGATTGAGTTAAAATACATTGTTAATTTGGTTTATTTAGTTTAAATGTTTGATGACGTAAAATCATAAGGGGGGTTAATAAAGGGAAAGGGTTAGGAAAAAGGAAAAAAGGGGAATACTTGAAAGAATGGTCCTGTGGTTACTGGTTACAGGGGTTAATGAATCTTAGGAATTTTATAAATTTTAGGAATTTAATGAAATTAACGAATATCGATATGATAAAGATTCATTTGTGATTCTCACTATTACTGTATTATTGGTGTTATGAAAAAATGTAAAATTACAAGTTTCTTAGTATTAGCCAATTTGAAATTGATTGAATAAAGAAAAATATTTGATAGATTATATATTTGATAGATTATTGCTTTCTTACATATGCTATGTATTCTCTTACATATGCTAAAATATGCTAACTACCTCGATAACCACCTCGATAACCTGATAGAGTAGATCACTAAGATCTATCGCTAAAGTTTATATCCAAATACAGATACTTACTTCCGATGGATTTACTTAATAGTATATACATTATACGTATTTTTACTGTATTATATTACACCATTATATTATTTTATTCTAGTTGATGCATAATTTGTCTTAATATATACATAAAATTTTTGTCCTAATTAGTTAATATCGTCAACCTTCATCATACTTATCATACTGTACAATCACTATTTCATTTTCGGACCTGAAGTTGATAAAAAAGTTTAAAACAATAATACATACATGCATACATACCACATATATACATATGTATGTAAAAGAAATGCATGTATACGTATATTATGACGGAAACACTAATGTTGTTATACAAATGAGACTCTATTAATAATAAACCAATTCATCCTTAATTATTAACGATAAGGTAAAGTTCTCTTGTTCAATTTCCTTTAATTTCCTTTAATTTCCTTTAATTTCCTTCAATTTCCGGTGAAGTAGTGACAAGTATCGCTTTTATAACTTTCGTGCTACGTGTTGGTGCTTGATTGTGACGCGTTTGTGAAATTTAAAATTAGTTATACGTATACGTATGTTGTAAATGGGCCGAAATACTACGGGTAATTTAGCCAAGAAATTCCCACTTACAACATCTACCATTACAGACTTTAATAATTTGACTTATATAAGATAAATCATCAATTCAAAATTAAAAATTCAAAATTAAAAATTCAAAAAATTTGGTATACAACAGTCAGCTGAAATGTTACAAGTCTACTAGTACTGCAGTAGTAAGGTTTGTATATTATATATTTTAATTTTATATATAAATAATCTTGATATCCAACAATCCTTTATTATGTTCTTTAAACAATTGTGTATGATTGGTTAAAATAATATTTTGAGAAATATATAAAATTTTACTAAGCAAAGATTTTTATACTTCCAATTAAAGCTGTAATAATTCTGATAATGGTTATACGTATTATCAGAATTGGCCAATATTATAGTATGCATAATGTCTGTAGGGTATGATACATGTCTGTAGGATACAAAAAGATCAACATTAACAAATTAAACAAATTAAGTTTAAAAAAAGAACTTGGATAGATAATCTTGTCAAGAATCTGAATAGCTGAACCTAAATAGCTGAATCTGAATAGCTGAACCTGAATAGCTGAATCTGAATAGCTGAACCTGAATAGCTGAATCTGAATAGCTGAACCTGAATAGCTGAATCTGAATAGCTGAA